AATGAATTTGCTCTGTAAACTTTCACCCAAATCACAATAATTTTTTTTTTAAATATGGTGAAAAATAAGATATGTACATATTCTTTAAGTACCATAGTAAACATACTTATTCATTATAAAGGGGAAAAATCGTAACTTTATAGTGGTGACTGCAGTAAACTTTACTATTATTTTTTTCTAATATGCCCACCACTATTTAGCTTCCTGTCTATTTGACCTGAACATTCCCATGCAAACCTGGAGATTGTATTAGAATTGTGTGGCTGCCATAATTTGGTAGTTTGAAACAACAAAAATTTCTCTCTCACATTTCCTAGAGACCAAAAGTCAGAAAGCAAAGTGTCAATAAGGCCATGCTTCTCTGGAGGTTCTGGGAGAACATACTTCCAGCTTCTGGTGGCTCCCAGTGGACTGCAGGAATTTGAAAGTGGCAGACACCACCTTAATCAAGTGATCAAAGTTAACATCACCAGTAACAAGATACTGACACATCCTGGTAGGATTCACTGAGGTCACAGCAGCTCTGTAGTATTCTTTCCAAAAATGCATCACCTGAATTTAATCACAAATAAACATCTGAAAAAACTAAGCTGAGATACATTCTTCAAAACAACTGTCCAGTGCTTTTGAAAAGTGCCAAGGATATGCATGACCAAAGAAAAGATTGAGTAACTATCTCACACTGAAGGAGAATAAAAAGACATGATAGGGCAACGGTGGTCCAGTAGTAAATTCTTGCTTTCTGTGTGGGAGACCCAGCCAATGCAACTCATGTACAACCACTCCCTGTCTGTCAGTGGAGGCTTGTATGTTGCTATGATGCTGAACAGGTTTCAGCAGAGCTTTTAGACTAAGGCAAATGAGGAGGAAAGGCCTGGTGACCTACTTCTGAAAATCAGCCAGTGAAATCTTATGTACTGAGCAACATTTTGTTCTGTTGTCTATGGGGTCCCTTGACAGGGACAGATGGAAAACAGCTAGCAACAACAAAACATAACAATTTAGTGCAATGTGGAATCTTGTTCCTGCAAAGGGCACTTTGCAACAATTAACAAATTTTAAATAATGTCTATAGATGATAGTATTGTAGTAAAGCTAATTCCCTGATTTTCACAATTATGTCATGATTAAACATGTTACACTTAGGGGAGCTGGGTGACGAGTATCTGGGAGCCCTTTGGATTCTTGTTCAACTTTTTTTGTAAATCTGATAAGATTTTAAAATGTAAAGTTTAAAATAATGCAAAAGACTTGTAATAAACTGCACTGTTATTAAAATTCAGCACACTTGTTTAAAAAAAAAAACCATGCAGAATGAGGCTTGACAAGTGGGCAGGGACCAGATCAGTAGGACCTTGGTGGCCATGTTAAGGGATTTTGGCCTTTTGCACACTCAAGATACTTTGAGGAAGATTTATTTATGAGTCTACAAAGATATGGGTACAGGGGAACCACCTAAACTATTGTCAACAAGTGACCTCAAAGAGAAGGAACTAGGGGAATATATCCTGACCTCACTTTCTTTCCTTCCTCTGAGCTCCTGTAGAGGCTTTCCATTTGGCCAAACCTAACCAGAATCCAGAGGGCACGGGAATTTATTGACTTATGTAGTCCATATAGGCCAGCTTCCTAATACAGAGAGGAGTTAAAGATGGGTGGGTAGATCTATCTGCAAGAGTGTTATGGATTAAAGATGGTTACAAATTCTTTGTCAATCTTCCCATTGAGACCCCCCTGCCACACACACACACACACACACACACAAAATCCAAATTCACTGCCATCAAGTTGATTCTGACTCACAGCAACCCTATAAGACAGAGTCCACAGGGTTTCCAAGGCTATAAATCTTTTCAGAAGCAAATTGCCTCATCTTTCCCCTGCAGAGTGACTGGGGGGTTTGTACAACTGACCTTCTGGTTAGCAGTCAAATGCTTTAACCACTGTGCTACCAGAGGGGTTAATTCTTGCTTTATGATTTAGCTAGCCTTGTTGTTGTTGTTATGTGCCGTCAAGTCAGACCCGACTCATAGCGACCCCTCCTTGGGTTTCCGAGGCAGTATCACTACGGAAGTAGATTGCCCCATCTTCCTTCCGAGGAGTGGCTGGTGGGTTTGAACCGCCAGCCTTCTGGTTAGCAGTCAAGTGCCTTAGCCACTAGCCTTAGTGACTCAAATTTCACCAATAGATGCTGCATGACTCTCAAGTCTTACAGCTTCTGCCTTGAGCTCTTGGAATAATTACTTTTCTGGATGCTCCCTCTCAGAACCCAGCTATCATGCTGTGAGAAGTCCAGTACGTGGAGAGACTACATGTAGATGCCCCGGTGCTCAGTGCCAGCTCAGCTCCAGCTTGCAGCCAGTATCATCTGCCAACCATTTGAGAGCTATCTTGAATGTTCAGTGGAGGTGAGCATAGCTGAGCATTAGCACCAGCCAACACTTGACTGCAACGACTTGAGAGACCCCAAATGAGAACCACCTCACTGGGCCCTTTCCAAATTCCCAAGCCACAAAATCATAAGCAAAATGGTTGTTTTAGGCCATTAAGTTTTAGAGCAAATTGTTACACAGCAATAACCAGATTAGGGGTTATTGCTTAAGTTATCCAGCCCAGAAGGTATGTGGAAACAATAGTCTCATCTGAATTTTGAAAAGGTCACTCTGGTTGCTGTGTGAAGATTATGGAAAATGAATTAGTAGGCTATTGAGATATGTTCTAGAAATGAAATATTGATGACTGAATTACAATGGTGAAAATGAAAAAAACAGACAGATCCAAGAAATCTAGATAAAATTCACAAGACAGTGGTGGACTGGATATGGTGCAAGGTAGCAGAGAAAGTGTTAAGGATGATGTCTCTTTCTGGTTTGCACAACTGGATAGTGGAGTTGCTGGACACTGAGATAAGGAACACTGCAAATGAAATAGGTATTTTTGAAGGAAGACCATGAATTGGGCACGGAGACATTGAGTTCACGGTACATCTGGCATTAGTACACTGCAGTACCGATATATGGGCCTGGAGTTCACGGCTGAACTAAAGACACAAATTTGGAAGTGATCTGGGTATCAGTGGTAATTAAAGCAAGAGTATGGATAAGATTGCTTATAGAGAATAGACAAAGAAGAGGGGGTGTCCTACAAGTCTTGAGGAACTCCTAAATTTTGTGGTTGGGGAGAAAAAGAAAATCAGTAATCTATACTGACAAGGAGTATTAGTTAAACAGGGTGAAGTCAAGGAAACCAGGGAGGGAGAATGTTTCAAGGAGGGCAATAGATTACAATGTCAAACCAGTAAGATAAGGGCTAGAAATGCTCTTTAGGTGTAGTCAATTTCAGGTCATTTGTGACTTTAGGGAGAACTGTTTCAACAAAGCAATATGGAGGGAGCCTATCACAGTGAGTTGAGAAGTAAGACACGGTACAAATGGCGACAACTCTTTCATGAATTTGGCTGTGCTGGGCAGGGGAAAGGACCCTACTTACTTTTCCAGAATTCCCCCCATCCCCAGTTTTCCAGAGTGTTTTCTTGAGGAGCCCAAATCCCACAGACACTGACAAACAAATACATAACATATATGAACTTAAAAGTGAAAAAGGCTACAAAGTAAGAGCTGATTTTCTGGATGAGCCACATATTTTCAATAGATGTTTGTCACATTCCGCCAGGAACTCCTGTGTGCATCCTTATATACAGCATCCAGACTTTCAGAAATAGCTAGAGACTTACATACTTTAAGAGCCATAAAAATATGTCAACCCCTTTAACTATAAAGTTTTTTAATTATGAAAATGTTAGCTGACAATGGAAATTTTCATAACTGAGTTTCTAAACTGAGTTTCAAAGTTTTTTTTCTTTAAATCCTTTCTACTTAACAAAAATAAACAGCAAATCCATAAAACATTTATGAAACTGACATAATCTGAATTTGTTTTTCTTCCCCTGAGCTATCTCCCTGTGCAAATACTGCCCTTCTGTTCTCCCATGACTGATCTTTCTAAGGAGTATATCTACCTGGTATAAACGTTTACCCTATATGCCTGTCTATTGTTTAGCTGGAAGCCACAGGACTGAGTTCAATTCCAAACCTGAAGAGTAACTAGGGGCCACAGTCTCAGGGGTCTCACTAGGCTCTATCAGACTAGTAAACCCGGTCTTTTTTTTGACTGTGAGTTTTGTTCCACATTGTTCCCCAACTCTATCCAGGATCTCATAATCTGAATTTCTTGATGTTAATGTTCACATCCAAATATAGACATACTTAACAACACATTTGTTTTCTGACAAAGACTAAAAGGGAAAAAAAAATTATCTTCCCAAATGTGTGGTATGAAGCTATATTGGTTTTGTTCAGTCAGAAGTATAACTGCCTTTAGCTAAAACCAAATAGATACAGATTCCTTTAAATAAAAACAATTTGTAGCATATATGTGTGTGTATACACATTCAAAAGGAGACCTGGTAGAGCAATAGTTAGGCATTCATTTGCTAACCCAAAAGTGAGTGGTTCAAAATCTACCAGCCTGCTCTGTGAGAAAAAGATGTGTTTTCATAAAGATCTACAGCTTTGGTGGAAAAGAATAACAAGATTATAGCCTTGGAAACCCTATGGGGCAGTTCTATTCTGTCCTACAGGGTCACTATGAGTTGGAATTGACTCAAAGGCAAAGGGTTTGGTTTGGGTTTGACATACATGTCCCCAAAAAATATAATCTGTAAAATGAAATAAAATACCCATAGTCTCTTTTTATAACAAAGGCTGAGGAACTTAAAGTTACACAATACCTTGGGCAAAAATTTCTAGTCATAAAGTTTTCAATAATCCCTTGAAAGAAGTTATTTGATATAAACAACAAAAACTTTTGTCCAAAGGTTTTAGCTTTTTTTATTCGTGATCTTTTCTTCATGATTCTCAATCAGAAGATCAACTCTGTATTTTTCATATTTGTAAGCATCAATTAATGTTACTATATACTACCACTGTCCTCAGGAAAATTCATTTCTTCAGCTCTTCATGTACACCTGGATTGGTAGAGACATCAGCTTGGAGCTCCTGTCTCCCCAGTTACAACAAATTCTGAAGGCCTTGGGGGTTCCTCTACCTTGGATTTTACAGCATGAGCTGCATAGTTGAGGCTAGTATTTTCACTCCAATGCCAGTAGCGTGAGAAGGGGTTATAGAGCATTCCTACCACAGTTTGAACTGAGAGACCATCTGGGGGGAAAAAAAGAAATCAGAAATATTAATTTAATACTTAATGGATATTAAAGACTTTCATGCAGCTGTCCATATTTTAAAAAAAGGATTTCTAATTTACTGGATTAAAAAAAAACCAATAATTTGCTGCTGAGTAGAACATAAATTTTAAAGCAGACTAACTAGGTTTAAATTCCAGCTCTGTCACTTACTAGATGGTGACCAAGGGCAAGTCATCAAGTCATTTATCCTGAGTCTCAGTTTTCTCATGTATATAGAATATATCTCATTGAGTTGTTGTTAGAATTAGATGAGATAATGCGTTTAAAGCACTTAGCACAGTGTTTGCCATTAGGCAAGTACTTAATAAACATTAGCTGTTATTAGAAAATATCTGCCAACAAGCAATTGTCCCTAAAAAGCAACTTTAAAATATTTTTTCTATTCTATTTCAATAAGGTTACTTGCAGAAATCTTTACAACTTTACCAAAGTAAGCAATGCCACTAAGAAGTGCATAATAGCAAAGAAAAGACAGGCATATGAGGTGAATATTTACATTAGGTAGAGAACAGGTTGGGCAATCTACTTCCGTAGTGACTGAACAACGTGTACAGAAACTGTGAACGGGAATCAAATATGCCATGCAAATTTTCACCAAAAACACATTATTAGAAAGGAAATTCAAAACATCTGACTGGGGAGAAATGAGGGAAAATAATTTGTAAAGATAAGCTGATACAAGCAGTCTTTACTAGGGCTAATGGGATGTATAAGCAATAGACATTTGTACCTCATTCTTAAGACTAAACAGCCAAAAGGTACACACTGATCATCTATTATTTGCTTGGCCACAGGTGCCACAGGTGAGAGAGAAGTGGTATTCTGACATCAAGGTGTTTATGATCTATTGGAGGAGGTGAAACCAACATCCAAAAAAGACCAGCTTATTTAGTTAAGTGCTAGGTTGTCTGAAGAATAATTATAGATGCATTAAAAGTTCAGTTAGGCCTCATAAACTGAAAAAAAAAATATATTTTTAATACTCACTTGATTCCAGAATGCTCTCTAGCTTTTCAGGTGAAACAAACTTTTCCCATGTATGAGTACCTATTGGTACAAGACCTGCAATTTGCTCTGCAAAAACAATTCCCAAGGCATAGGACAGCTGTGTTTTGTTGATAGTAGTAATGAATAAAGAACCACTGGGCTAAAAAAAAACATACACAGAAGTAAAATTTAAAAGGTCAGGTATATCTGTTATATCAGTTAGATAAATGCTTGGCTCCTTCCTTCCCAGCCTTCCTTCCAAATGACCTTCCTTAGTGCTGCTACAATATATAAGTATGATTAAAATACAATTTAACAAAATAATAATTTTTTATCTTGGAAGATTTATTATTAAAAGCAGTCGTCTACAGATGCACTCACTGTAACAGTTGTTGTTGTTGTTGTTGTTGTTATGTGCCGTCGAGTCGGCCCCGACTCATAGCGACCCCTCCTTGAGTTTCCGAGGCAGTATCACTACGGAAGTAGGATTGCCCAACCTTCCTTCCGAGGAGTGGCTGGTGGGTTTGAACCGCCAGCCTTCTGGTTAGCAGTCA